AATTCATCTATGTCTATTTCTAAAAGATGCTGGTCTTCTCTTAATAAAGATATTTTTCTTCAATCTCTTACTGAACCTATTTTTGATACTACCTTATTTTCTGATGTTGATGATTTTGTCTGTGCTTTTAATATCTACATTACTTCTATTCTTGATAAGCTTATTCCTCTTAAATCTTTTACTTATAGGCTCTATTCTCGTAAGGCTCCTTGGTTTGATTATGCTTGTGTAGTAGCCAAGAAAAGTCTTAGAAGACTGGAGAAAGCCTATAGGTTAAATCCATCTAACTCTCTTTATTCTATCTATGAATCTGAATTGATTAATTATAAATATCTACTATTCTCTAAACACTCTACTTTTCTTAGAAATTCTATAACATCTGCTTCAACATCTAAAAATAGGTGGTCTGTTCTATCTAAACTTCTACATAAAAAATCTTCTCACTCATCTTTCTCTGCTCAACAGTTTCATGACTTTTTTGTAAATAAAATTACTTCTTTAAGAACATCTAATTCTAATTTTACTTCTCATAACTTTACTAAACTTACTACTGAATCTTTCTCTGTATTTACTCCAATAAATCTTTTAGAACTAACTAAAATTATTAATTCTATGTCGTCTACAACCTGTTCTCTAGATCTACTTCCTTCTAATTTACTTAAAGAATTCTCTTCAATATTTTATCCAATCATTCTCAAATTAGTTAATTTATCTCTTTCCACCTCTAAATTTCCTACTTCTTATAAGAATTCTATTGTTATTCCTATTCTTAAAAACACATCCCTAGATCCCACCTCTTTATCTAATTATATACCTGTAACTAATATTACTTTCATCTCTAAAATAATAGAAAAAGTTGTTTTTAATCAACTCTCATCCTATTTAGACTTTAACTCTTTGCTACCTGTATCTCAATCTGGTTTCAGACCTGCTCACAGTACTGAAACTTCTTTATATAAATACACAATGATATCCTTCTCTCTAGTGACAATAGTAATCTTACTCTTCTTCTTGCTCTTGACTTTTCTTCAGCTTTTGATACTGTTGACCATACTATTCTCTTGAGACTGCTGCATCTTTCTTTTAATATTACTGATTCTTGTCTATCTTGGTTTTCTTCTTATCTCTGTAATCGTTTTTCTTCTGTTGTTCTCAATAATTCTACTTCTAACTCCTCTACTCTTACTTTCGGGGTACCGCAGGGTTCTATTCTTGGCCCTCTTCTATTTATACTCTATACTTCTGAACTACCTCGTATTATTAATAACTTTTCTTTCTCTAGTCAACTATATGCTGATGATTCTTATATTTATACTTCTTTTCCTCCATCTAATCTCAATAGTGTTCTTCATAATTTATCTCTATGTCTTTCTTCGATTATCGCTTGGTCTGATTCTATGTGTCTTAAACTTAATCCTTCTAAGTTTGAATTAATTTGTTTTAATAAATCTAAACACTCAATTACTATTCCTCCTATTATCTTACCTGATTCTAAAACTCTTGATGTCTCTCATAAGTTTCGTAGTCTAGGTTTTATCTTTGATTCTACTATGTCTCTCTCTTCTCAGATTAATAGTGTTGCTAGAAGCTCTTACTTTCATCTACGTAGAATAAAAAAACTTTTGCCTCTCCTTCTTGTTACTTCGTTAGTCTTATCTAGGATTGATTATTGTAACTCGCTCTACTATGGTCTTCCTGACTCTATACTCTATCCTTTAAGTAAAGCTTTTAACTCTGCTGCTCGTCTAGTTGCTCGTGCCCCTTTCTTTTCTCATATATCTCCATATCTTGTTCTCTTGCACTGGCTACCTATAAAATATAGAATAATTTTTAAAATTTGCACGTTCATGTATAAGTCTCAATCTAAATTATTTCCTAAGTACTTATCAGATATATTAATTGAACCTAAACGCCCCGGTTTACGATCGTCTTCTTCTTCTCGCTTTTTCTTAACTCGTGTTAAACACTCTTTTGCCAAATCTGCTTTTGCTTTTTCTGGTCCTTTTCTCTGGAACTCTCTACCTACTTCTCTAACTATTTCTCCATCACTTGCGAAGTTCAGAGCGGATCTCAAGACCCATCTGTTTTCAAAATTCATTGAGGAGCGCTGTTGAACATCGCGGAAATAGCGCTTTATAAGCTAATTGATTGATTGATTGATTGATTGATTGACAATATATACAAAATTTTGAATTTTTTTTTAGAATGAAAAACAAGCTTTCGGGAAAAGCATTCATTATTATTTAATTATTTAACGAGATAATATTCAATCTCTTGTCTAATTCCAGATGTTCTAGCAACTGTGACTGCCGAAATAAATTTCCGTTTTTAATAATCAACATTTACTTTTTGGAAACCAGAAAAAATGCCTAAATAAGGAAAGTTGCAATATTTGGCTATTTGGCCTTTAAAATTAGACAAAGCTGATCCCTAATCTTAAATTTTCAAATATTCGGTGTATCTCAATTTTCAAAATAAAATTTCAACTTTATTTACTAGAAACAAAAAATCTCTGTAACTGTACTTTTTGAAGATAATTTTTGAGCCGTTACCTTGACGTTTCAATCAAAATTCACATCAAATAGCAATTAAAACATTCATGTACTGGACATTGAACATCATTGCATTGTATTAGGGAACAGAAGAATGCAGGTGCAGCTCCAGAAATAAGGAGACCTGTGGTGATCCGAAGAACTATGAAAGCAACTGCCTGACAGTATGTCCTGGAAATAAGGATCAAAAATGTGCCGGGACCAATTGTGCGGCCAAATTTTCAGGTAAGAGGTAAAAAAAAGTTGTTAGGGATTAATCATCTTATTTGTTCATCAGGTGACACTTTATTTACTAATAAATTTGTTTAAATATCAATGATAATTTACAGTTGGAACATATTTGGAAGCTCCAGCTGGTCAGTCAGTTTATACTCACTGTGGTAATAAAGTTGATGAACTGAAAGATTTATCAAGTTGTGATGCTGCATGCAAAGCTGGGTGGACTGGAGATTTCTGTGACAGAAGACGTAAATATGTTTAAATTTTTCTTATGTTTCAATCGATTCAAAAATGTAAACTTTGCTTTCTAATTTGAAAAATTCAAAGATTGTGAAGACGAAGAAGGCTGTGGGGACGATATGATCTGCAATAAACTGGAAGTTAAAGAAGAAACATTTGGCGAATGTGTTTGTCCAGCTGGCAAATACAAAACTGCTCAATGGACTTGTGAAGGTGGTCTTCCTTCTATTCAATCATTTACAATTTATTTGCTTTTTGTAATCCATGTTAACTCGTCTTAATTTTGAAATAAAGATTTGCCGTCTAAGAATGTAGCATTCAGAAAGAGAGTTGAAACCGTCCCACAACCTGAAACCTATCAACCAGAGTATCTGGTCGATGGTCACATCATACGAAATCCTTCAGAACTTGTTCTTCGGTCACCAAATGAAATATCAATAACTGTGCATCTTGATACTTTATACAAAGTGCAATACGTAGTTGTCTACCACAGGCCAAATTTCATTGATATTGGTAATGGTGATAAATTCGATTGCACATGTACCAACTACTTGAAAATGTTCATACAATTTTTGTAGGCAAGGACAACCTGACTTATGTGGTTGAGTTGGACGATATCCTGCAGGCTGGCTCGCTTGGAATTCCATGCAATACATATGAAGTGAACATGAAAGTATGTACAGAACCGCCCAAATTTGTGACATGCAAGTATCCAGATTTCAAATCAATGTTTGTCTTTCTATTTCCTGAAATTAAACAAGAAGTAAATTATATGGCGATTGATGAGATTGAAGTCTATGCAGGTTTGTTCTCAATTTTTTCATTTCTCTGCGTTACGCCATGAGTCACGTGTTGCCATTTCAAAAATTTTCACGTTATTGATTGAATATTTTTCAAGTTTTTGCAGGTTATTTCAGTAAATATTTCACAAATGATCATTTAAATGAAATTTGATTGATTTCTAACGCAGAAAATTTGCCAGTATATTATTACGTTGGATGTTTTGGCTCTTTTCATACTGTGCACACAATGCAATCGAAGAACCTCACATTTGATGAATGTAAAAAATTCTGCAAAGTGCTTCAAAACCCCATGCTCATTGTCGGCTTGAAGGCTAGTAAATTCTTTTATTGATTGAAATTAGAAAATTCACTAAATAATGAGAAAATTCTTTTTGAAATTTGAATTTTTGGTTTTAAAAATGGTGGTTGTCAAGTAGGTTTTTCTAATGGATTTATTAATTACTCAGATTGGTGCCGTAAAATGCTTTTAGAATATAAATTATTATTTGTCAATAATAATAATATTATTATCATTATGATTGTTTATTATGATTATTAATTATTATTATTATTATTATCATTTAAGTTCGCTTGAGTACCAATTGCAGAGTGTTCGAGCTTTGTATCTTCTCATATTAATTTAAATCTTTTCAGAATTCTTATATCATCCGTAAATTTTTAAGATTGAAAAAATTATTTAACCCCATAAGAATGGTGATGAATGTCACTGTGGTTTGTCAGCCAGAAATGAAAGTGAATCAGCTAATTGCTACGTGGTGTGTTCTGATGGCAGCCCGTGTGGAGGACCTAACCATTACATTGTTTTCTCAGGTTTCCAACGCAATTTTTCAAGTTTTTTAATTTCAACTATGTACTGCTTGTTTCTGCGTCTTGTTTATTGTAATCCAAAATTGTTTGGCTTGTACACCAGATTTCAAATTTTTTGTAGCTGAAATGCCCAAACCAAGTTACGTTGGTTGTTACTCGGAGGCATTGAAACAAGAGAACAAGGTGATCGGGGTCACTCAGGGTGAGGCATTTACATCTTGCTCGGTGCACTGCAGGATGCAAAACTCCATTGAATTTGCCATAATGGTGGGTCAACTACATTTATTGTGCTCCAATATTTTAGCTCAACTTAATTGGTTCAATTTTATAATCCAGAACTCAATTAAATGCATATGTGGAAGTTTGATGAATGCCTCATTTCAAGTTGCCACGTCTAAGTGCAATCAAAAATGCCAAGACTATGTGACTCTATCTTGTGGAGGCGATGGAATGTTCTCTCTATATAAAAGTAGATGAATTGAAATTCATGTTAAAAAATTAAAATACTTGCTCGGCCAGTGTTTCCCGACCTTTGTGCCACGCCTCAAACCCAGCAAAAAAATTCCATGCTCCACTAAAAATTATGTTTTAAATATATTTTTGTTTTAATCATGAAAAAATAACATTTTAGTGTGGTGGAACCCATTTTACTTATTAATCTAGCAAAAATGAAAATTTCGAAAAACTTGTGTTCGGAATTAGTTTTCTTATCAGGCATACGCATTCATGGTCTTATATTTTGGACCGCTAAAAATTTGATAGTTGCTAAATATCTATTTACCCATCATTTTATTTGAACTTCAGTGAACTGTTATTTTCAAATCATGTCTCGGTATATTTCAAATCGCTTTCTTGGAGAACGAACTCGTTTCCCGCTAGGGCATTTACTTCTTGCTAGGCAATTCGTTTTTTCATTACCGTTTTGCTAATCGTTGGAAAGTTTTTCACTCCAACAGACATCAAATAAGTTATGGTTAATCTATTCGCATGCAATGACCATCTAGCTTTCTTGAGGTACGAAGCAAGCATTGAACGCCACTTCTGTATTGACACATCGGCTAGATCACCGGATTGTAAGCCAGGAAGGTGTGATCCTGGTTGGACTGGACCACTTTGCAACAAGAGAGGTATTCTCTTCTATCCGTTATTCTTCAGAGCTGATCAAATTTGAATTATTTCCTAGATTGTTCGCTCAATAACGGTGCATGTCCGAAAGATTTGATTTGCTCAAAAGTTTTCATTGGTTCAGAGATAACATCGGAATGTTATAATGCCGCCAATTTTAATAGGTTCAAAAACACTAGTAAGCTAATTTTAATTATTTAATTTATTTTCTACTTAAATTGAAATTTTATATTGATTTTGTTGTTTGACAGCACCGATGACATCAGTGGAAATGGGAACATTAATGAATGCTCTACTGATTCTTGGATCTATGCTCCTACTTTTGATAATATCAGTTTTTTGTGCCATTTTTTATGTCAAGAAGAAACATCCATTGATATACGAGGAAAAACTTCAAGCTGGTACTATTTGAATTAAATAATTTGATTTTTTGTCATTAATTATTCATTCTCGCACTAAAAGATACTTTAGATTTAAATTTTAATCACTTTCAAATTATCTTTATTCATTTGTTTTATAACCAATAATTTTCTAATCAGTGAAAGACTTTAAAGCAAAAGTTGGCGATAAAATGAAGCAGCCCAAAATTAGAAGTGGCGCCAAAGCTAACAAAGCTGAATCAACAAAAGACACTAAGAAAGCTGCACCGGCTAAAGCTAAAGCAGCTCCATCAAAAGTATCTACTGCTACTGATTCAACTTATTAAAAAGTTTAATAGGCCAAAATATAAATAATTAGTTTTGAAAAATTCTCGTTTATGAAATTTTTTTACAATTTTAAATTTACTTTTAAATTTTTCACATTGTTTCTGTTTTCACATTGTCTAAACATTAAGAGAGATAGATGACTCTTCGTTTTATGGTTTAACTTTATTTCCGTACACTGCAAACATTTGTTACCTTCGTTTGAAATTGCATTTGTTTGTTTGCTTCTTTCAAATTTATTTATGTTAGTTATTTTTGTTTTGTATTGTTTTGAGTTTTATTTTTAAATAATAAACTTCGTGCATTACAATTGTGTCATTAGTTATTAAAGTTGAAAAGTTGTAAATTTTAAATTAAAAAAATACTGCAAAATAAATACTTCATGAAATGCAGAGGCACATTCAAGCGGATCTTTGGACTTCTCTCTATATAAAATTCATTCAAGCACAATGTTCAATAGACCAGAGTCTTTATTTTATATAAACTTTTATAGTCAACCGTTCCGGACTCACAACAAAAACATTTAGAATTAAATTAAAATGTAAATTGTTTTTCCAATGTTCACACTATTGTAGGCCTGGCTGAGATGATAATTTCATTTAAATCAGAGATCGCACATCATATGTTGCAGTACCTTTTTTGATTATCTATGAATTTAATGTGGATTAGGAATTATGTGTACTTGGTTGAACTTTTACTTTGGAACTTAACGTCGACCCGGAAGTGTTTACCTCATTATATTATAATTCGTATTTGAAACTCCTCTTCCTTCTGCTGAGTCCCAGCCGGTGTGGAATATAATAACTGGACTCATCTTTCTCGAAACAAGGATGATATTTTGATGACAAATTTTATAAAGATGATTCAGCGGCGGATTAACTTTTAAAAATAAATAAAATAAAAGCAATATTCTTAATACATTTATATTAGGTACCTTCTTTATTAATTATTTAATGGAATATTAGTAAAATCATTGTTTTAAATTATAAAAGTTGTTCCTCTCGAAAGACCGAAAATAATTTTAAGAATTTTATTAACGACACTAATAATAATAACAAATAATAACAAATGCACTAAGAACAACAACAAAAATGATAATACGAATAGTAATATTATTAATATAAACAACAAATTCAAATATTAATTATCATTAATATTAAAATATTTTATTCTTTAGGTCGGTGCCTAAGGTTGTGCCACGTTGTAATGATTGGTTCCCTCTTCTGCCATATTAATTTGTTGCCATAAGTTAGGTACCACCTGGCGCGGGACAAATTAATTTATAAATAATTAATAATAATAATAATGTAACAACAACGATAATAATAGTATTAGAAACAACATTTTTCGTTTGCTACTGATATCATATGATTATATCATACATAAATAGAGCACAACAAAACACAGCAAACATACAACTGATACAAAAAAAATAAACAAAGAAGACAAAGATAAAACACGAACAAAAAACATGAATGAAAAAACATAAATAAACAATAAACAAAGGAAAAAGACAAACAAGAAACTAAAATAACAGAAAGAACTAACAATCCGAAGAACATTCCTGCAAGATGAGCCGCATGATCGAACAGCTTCCACCTCAGCACAATCCCCAGCATGTCCAACAATATAATGCCATAGAGAGCCTAAAAATATACATACATATTTGAACACACACTGACAGGCACACAGAAGCACACATACAAGCATACAGAGACAAAAAAACAGACAGATACAAATAGAAACATCACAGGAGACACCCATGTAGACACCTAGACAAGTAGACAAACAGACAGACAGACATCAACATGAGCAGCATATAGACTGACCGAACCAGCGGAGAAGGAGTGAGGGATGAGTTTGTCTACGAAGGCGATACTGAGGTGGGCGTCTGGATGCCTGGAGCAGACCATGCCCAGCACAGCCATTATGGCTCCTGACTTGTGATGGTGATGACGATGGTTGTGATGATAATGAAAATGATGATAAGATGATTATGACGATGATGATACAACTATGACAATGATAACAAAAGATGTGAATTTGGTACAAAAATTAGTAGTTCAGCAGCCAGCAGCAAATGATGATATATTATCATTGACAAACAAAGGTCAATTAAGCAGGTAAGCAACTGGTCAGTCATACATATCAATCTCTCTTCAACGTTCTTAACACGAACCTTTTAGATTATTCATGTACTTAATTAATATTCATGAACCTAATTAATATTCAGCAGCCTTATTAGCATAAAACTCACAGCTCCTATGGATGGGGAGAGACTACAACGAGCTATTTTGAAGATGTAACTACCAAAACTTGAAACGACAGCTATTGAAAAAATTTGAATATATGATTATTCATAAAATGATTTGAATTAACCAGAAAAAATTAATAAATTAAACTATTTTTTTCCTAAACAACAACAATTATAAATAATGTATGAATTAATTATTAAATTATGGATATAAAAGCATCTGATACCATGTGAGTTTCAGACAACGGGGAATCGAACTAGGTTAGTGTGCAATAACAACGAAGAATACATCGGCACTCCTGCCGTCTAAGCTAACAACCACTATCATCATCATCATTTCATCATCAGGAACTAACCGGCAGTGACGTAGGTGGCGAGGAACTGTTCCTGGCCCAAGATGGCGCTGATGGATGGAGTGAAAGACCAGAGAACGTACATGTTAGCGAAGAGGTGGAAGAATGAATGATGGCTGAAGGAGGAGAGGAACATTGAGACGCATGGTGCGCCTGCGTGTGTGTTGTTTCGTATACGTGTGTGTAGTCGTGTACGTGTGTGTTGTTTCGTGAGCGTGTGTTAGCAGTCTACGTATCGTATATATATATATATATATATATATATATATTTATATATATATATATATTAGAGTGTATGTGCGTGGTTGTATTGTATGTGTGCTTGTAATCTTTTTTATGCTGTCCGTAAAAAATGGCACATACCAGAATAAGGACTGGCAGTAAAATATTTGATCATGGTAGGTTGAAATTGTGGAACTCTCCAGAGTAGGAAAACCCCGAAGTTCAAGGCCATGATGGCCACCACCGTCCGCTCCCCGGCTGACAAACCATTCCACCAGTGGTTTAACTGTCAGTTATGACGAAATTATCTTAGCTTAGACAATGACGCTTTAATGTTAGTGAATAAAATAAATAAAATCTAATGCTATGTTTCGTTGTTAATTTTTGGCTCTAACGTTATAACGTTGATGGTGGTGGAGTTGGAGTAGAAACCAAAGATTTTGTAGGTAAAAATTTTGCAAAATAATGATTTCACAATCATGTAATTTTTCTTTTTTGCACCATCATCATCATCATCACCACCTCTCTTCTTATGGATCCAGCTTTTCCATAAATAGTGGAGGAGGACCACCCACCACCACCTCCTCCGCCGACAACTCCACCGTTGATCTTCCTCACCTTCCTTCTAAGATTTTCGTACTGCCATATGGAAGCTCCAACATAACTTACACAACCGACCTGGGAGACATTGTAAAAAATGGAAAAAATTGTTGGAAAAGAAAAGAAGGAAAATGAACATCATCCTTACCATCATCCTCCTCACCATCCTCACCATCATCCTCGTCATCATCATCTTCATCTTCATCACCATTTCTATTCATATCCAAGCAGCCTTATTATCAATGATGGTTTTTAAAAAATCTCAAAATAAAAATAGACAAAAGATTTTTTATTTTTTATTTTAAATAAAATTTTCCTTTATAACCGAAATAGTGAACAAGAATGGTTGGAAGAGTTTTTTAAAGTCCCTTTGAACTCCGACCTTTTCGACCTCTTTAACCTTTGAACTGACTTTGAAAGGTCTACAAGGGAGTAAAACATGTTGGAAGGTCTTTGTTTGAGTAACTTTTCTTTGGACATTTCTGAATAAAAGTTAAACTATAGAATTATTTTTATAGACATTCTTAAAATTTTATTATATTATTATTATTATTGGTATTATTATTATTATTGCAAATGGTAGTGGATGAAAACTTAATATAATTTTAATTTATATTATAAATGAGTTGAATAAAATAAATGAGAATAGGTTCACTTCGACTTTAAATCTCAATAATAATAATAATAATAATAAAAATAATAATAACACATAACTCTAATAAAAAAATAGTCCACACAACAGATTGTCATCAATTATACAGATTTATTAATTATTAATAATTATATTGTTAAATAATTTCATTGATTTACAGGTCTGAAATTTAGTCAATAGTTAGAATTTTAAAATATAACGGTATGTATCGTACAATACAATACAATGCAGTTTAATACAATACAATATAATAAAACACAATAATACAATAAATATAATACATAAAATATAGTACAATACAATATAATACATATAATATAATACAATATAATCGAATACAATGATCTCCGAATATTAATTAATTAATCATTAATTATTAATGATGTGTTTAGTTAGTTTGCTTAAAATACCATATCTTAATTAGATTAATCATTAATTAAGTAGTTAAATAAATTAAATAATAATTTAGTTAGAATTTAGACATGACATAGACTTATATTTTCTACTGCAATTTTGTTTTAACTTAGGTCTTAGGAACTGTTCAACTTCGGAACTGTTAATCAATTTCAACCACCGAATGAAGCATGTACATAATAGTTATGTCATAACTTATTAAAGATTTATGATCTAGCTAGCCAGATAGAGTTAGACTAGAGAACTAGAGGCTAGTAAGTTATAGACACTAGAACTAGACAAGAACTAGCTCTGAGCTAGCTAGCTAGCTAGATGAAACCCTGAAACAGGAAACCGGTTACAAAAATTAAATTAATAATTAATTAAATTTAAATTAAATAAAATGAAAAGCTTGAAAAAAAAGTAAACTAACAAAAAGGACCTTAAGGGACAGTGCACATATTTTAACGAAATGAGAGAAGGAAACATTTATCAAAGTGATTACTTCAATATGAATTAAAATTCCGGCAAAACTTTACATTAGTGCCTAAATGCAAACGAAATTGGAGATAATAAGTGGAAGTGAGAGTAGGTTAAAGCGTAAATATGTCTAAAAGTGAATTGATATTAAGACTATTAATTATTTGAGTTCAATCAATCAATTAGCTTATAAAGCGCTATTTCCGCGATGTTCAACAGCGCTCCTCAATGAATTTTGAAAACAGATGGGTCTTGAGATCCGCTCTGAACTTCGCAAGTGATGGAGAAGTAGTCAGAGAAGTAGGTAGAGAGTTCCAGAGAAAAGGACCAGAAAGAGCAAAAGCAGATTTGGCAAAAGAGTGTTTAACACGAGTTAAGAAAAAGCGAGAAGAAGAAGACGATCGTAAACCGGGGCGTTTAGGTTCAATTAATATATCTGATAAATATATAAAATAGAAAAATTTTATAGAGTTATAAAATTATTTATGATTTAAAGTGAAATACTGTAAATAATTTGTAAATATAGTAAAATAAAACATCTTTTTAACAGTCATCAATTATTTAATAACTTTGTAGCGTTAAAATCGTAATTTTTGTATGCTTTTAAAGAGAAAGTTTTTACATTGTAGGCATTAAAGTGAACTCACATGCTTGCATGGTTATGTGCAGTTGACATTGAAATAAACTTCCATGCATTTATTTGCACGAATTTTAACATATAAGACTTAACATGAGGCATTAAAATAAACTTCCATGCAGTTATTTGAAAGTGTCTTAGCATGTAAATTAACTAGTAGGTATTGAAATAAAGTTCCGTGCATTTTTTGCAAGCATTTGAAAACAATTCACCGCGTAGGCATTAATGTATACTTCCATGCATCGTGACGCGTGGGCACTAAAATTAACTGAAAATATTTGAATAAAAGCGTTTAGGTAAGCTCTTATTTTATTATATGCTTCCACGATGTTTAAAATTATATTTTTTCGAGCCATGCTTAGCAGGATGACTTCGCTCAGAAGAGTTTTACAATTTTATCATATATTCAATTTTAAATAAGCCAATCAATTTTGAAAAGTTATGTTCTAACATTACATTTTTGAAATATTTATCTAAAACACTAATTAATAAAAAAAAGTTGAACATAAAGAACAATTTGTTTATTTAGCGTTATTAATATATTCACTCTAATTCAATTATTTAGCGTTATTAATATAAATTCACTTTTACACCTATTTACGTAGTATTCAATATCCTCCATCATTTACATCACTGTCTCGCTTTTTTGTTTGCATTGAGGCACTAATGTAAAGTTTTGCCAAAATTCCATAAAAATAAATAATAATGAAGAATTTTGAGATATTTTTAAGATAAAGCACGTTTCTGTTTAGTTCAATTTTTATTTTAAATGGTGGAAAAACACCGTAGGTTCACTTTTCAAACTTCTACTGATAGCATACTGCATTGAAACGGACGAATGATAATTGATGATAATTGAGAATACCACAATGTTTATTCAAGATATATGTATCAAACAGTATCTTATTGGACAAAGTAGTGTCATAAAATGAATAAAGATACTTGTTTCAAAAATTAAAAAAATTCTCAATTTGATTTCATTGCGATAATACATTTATAATGTATTTAGTATTTACACATTCAAATTGTGTTATGGCGTAGTCTCAAATTATTTTGAATTCTCTCAGAAAAATTTAAACTTTTTACTATATGCTAGTCACCTTTATCAACAATTTAAAAAAAATTTCAACTTGATTTCATCGCAATATCGATAATGATTTTTGTGACCTGACTGCTGATTAAAAAGCATCAAAAAAAATTTTTAAAATAGGATAGAGATTTTGTTATATTGGGATATTCGTATATAATGCGAGCAAAATTTTATTATAAAAGCGCTTATAAATCTACGCATATTGGCTCATCTTGGCTTGCCTCGGGTTGGAATTGGATGTTAAGCAAGGTGTGGTCTCAAACAATTTTGAATTCTCCCAGAAAAATTTGAACTGCGTGCGTACATATATAGCACTCTATAATAAATTTATATTATATATATATGTATATATAATATATATATATATATAAAGTGACTAGAATCCATGTATACAAATAATTAGTCGAACAGCCAACGAGCTGATTCTTCCTACACCACCATCATGAGACCACCATCTGAAACGTGCTGACTCCCACCATTTTTTTATTATCGTAGTAGTAAATCATGAATGTTAGAATCTTAGAAGCATAAAATTATAAAATGAAAATAATGTCAAATAAATAATATTTTAAATTAATAAAAAGAGTAAAACGTAAAAATACTTACCGTCGTTCATTCGAAGAAGGTAGAATGTTGATTGTTTTCCGGTTCCTTCGTTGTCCTCCAAAACTGGTGCCAGTCCTCTTCGAGATTGTTGTTGAAACACAGTCCGAGCAATGGAGAAAGGGAAAATTCTCATCAGAAAGCTTAGCGGTGCCTGCATCTCAAATTGCTTAATAAAAATAACCCTATCTACCTATTCAATTACCTTAAATAATCTATATTAAATTGTTAATGGTACGATAGTCGAAAGTCCCCCTTCATTCTCCCTCCTTGCACAGAGGTTCACCGACAGCCAGGGCACCGGATAGTAAACCATTGCCATTTTCTAATTTCACACATACATACTTGATAACATTCACACATACATAAGAACATACATAACCACATACGTGATGTTTTTGATCTGACAAAAAACACAGCAGAGGAACCGACCTTGACATATAAAAATTTTTTAATTTAATTTCATGCACACTAACACGCACACATACATACCTGCTAACTTGCTCACACACATAAACACATACATTATCACGCACGTACATGATTTTTTTGATTTAGCAAAAACACATCAAAGAAACCGACCTTGACATTTGAAAAAATTTTAAATTAAACTTTTCGCGCTAATGTTGTTAATCATTATACAAAAACATATCAAATACAGCAGACCAAACCAGTCAATCAGAATTTCTTTAGTTGTCGATGGAGGAAATGACGTCATTTTAAATATTTTGGCGTTGTATTCAGCCAGTCAGTCAGTCAGCCAATCAGTCAATCAACCAATAAACAAGCCATTTATCATTCATTCAATCAACTAATCAACCAATCAACTTATTAATGAACCAAATTGAATGAACCAAATGAACGAACGAGTTATGGTGAAACAATAAAAAAATTATTTGCAAGGCTTGCTGAAGCGCAATTCAACATTTAATCGCACGTATCTACAAACAATTTTGAGATTTTAGTAAGGAAAGATAAACACAACAGTTGCTTTTATTTGACATCAATCAAAAATGAAAAATGGCGGAAAATTTAAATTTAAAAAATGTCAATTTAAAAAAATTCGGATTTAAAACAAACAAATGTAACACTCGTCAGAATGATTCAAGTAACACGAACAATTAGTAAAAACGGTTCACAGCATATCATAATGATACCGAACAGAAATTATTTATACATGCATACAAAGAAATACAGAAAATATCAAAAAATTATGTAACCAAAATATAAAACTAGAAACCAGCCAACATTTTACAAATAAATAGATACTATTAAAGATTGATCAAAAAGGTAAAATTCAAGGCGACGACGAAAAAAAGTAATGTGTTTTGTTGGTGTGGTGTTGCGATGCGAAAACAAACAAAAACATCACAAAAAACTAGTAAGAAGTCGCAAGAATAGTAGTCAGTCACCTACCTACAATTAAATTACTCTCAGGGCCCTAGCTTACCTATGATGATTAACTCAACTTACCTACCTACCTACAAATTTGAATTTCAAATTTTAAATGCATCAGCTATTTTTTTTTAAATTTTTTAACGTTTTTATTTTACTTGAAACTTTTTAACTAATGTTAAGCCCTGGCCTACCTACGATTGTTCAACTCATCTCAATCCCTAACTTACCTATAAATTAAATTAAAGTCCGGTAAAGAGGATAGAAAGTTAAAGAGAAACATAACGACACCGAATGAATGGATGTTGTGTATGTATGTGTTGTATAGATGTGTGTGTGTGTGTAAATGTGCGCGCGTGCACTCTTCAGAACTTCTTCACTCACTACGGACGA